GAGGGAAAGATGTGTGTGGGTTAGCTAATATACAAGCCCCTGGGGAAGCTCTGGAGGGGAGCTCAATAGATGCAACCCCTTGATCATGAACTTCACTACATCTAGGATCATGAACCAAGTAAACTTCTTTTGTTTATAAATGACCCARTCTATGCTGTTCCATTATAGCAGCAGAAAATAGATTAAGACAGGGAGAGAGAAGTGGGAACTATCTCCTTTCTTTCACATGTGAACTATTTCAGAAAAAAAGGAAATCTTGTTTGCTTTACTGTGTTCCAGGCTCTGTGCTCAGCGATAGTGGACCAACTAGATAAATGCTATTCTTGGCCCTTGAGCTCGGTCTTGGTCTTTTCAGAGGCATGGTCAGGCAGGCTGCTCATCCTAACAGTCTGTGCTATGTAAATGAGAAGGTGCAGGGCTGGGGAGTGATGTTACACTTTGATATTTGGGGAGAATTGTGAAGCAGTGGCCATCAAAGCTCACACTCTGAGGTCTCAGGGGCACAGGAGTTGAGGGGTGTTGAGAAGAAAGGAAGAAAGGGCCTCAGGGTGTACAGTGATGAGTATAGTTAACAGGATATAAAGGACATAAATCCTTTTGGTTACTTCCTGTTTAAGTTCTATCATGTCCCTCTTTGCTCACAAACCTCCAATGGCATCTCTTCTCCCTCTGTAAAAATCAGACCATGGGCAAGGTGTTTTAGGCTGATGAACTCAGGTGACCTCTCTGACCTCAGCCGCCTTGGTCCTTCCCATCACTCACTCCACTCCAGCCTCTCTGACTTCCTCCCTGTTTTCCGACTTTGACAAGGATGATCCTGCTTCGGGCACTTACATTTGCTTTTCCCTCAGAAAACTGCATGACTTGCTCCTTGCCTCAGGTTTTTGTTTAAATATTATATTCTAAGCAAGGCTTTCCAGTAAACTTTATTAAAAAATTGCAGTCTCTGATATTCCGCACAAGGTGAGACACATTGCTAGCTCCCAACCTCCCAAATTCTCTTCTTCCTTCTGGTCACCTGGATGCCCAATAAAGACTACATTTCCCAGCTTCCTTGCAACTAGGCATGACCATGTGGCTTGGTTCTCACTAATGAAGTGTGAGAGAACTAGTTTATTAACTTCTGCCTTATTAGCCTGAAAGAGAGAAATTGCCTTTAAAAAAAAAAAAAAAAAAAAACAACTTTCCCTCAGGCTGAACTCCAGAGATTCCAGTGACCCAGCTTCAACTACACAAATGTAGGCAATACCTTAGGGAAGGGCAGAGTAATGAGACAGAGGAAACTTGGGTCCCTGAATGACTCTGTGGAGCAGAGAGGTCCTGCCAGCTAGAACAAGACATTTGCAGGAGAAAGAAATAAACTTCTATTATAGTTGCTATATATTTGATAAACTTTGTTACACAACTTTCCTACACTCTAACCTACACATTTCCTCTACAGTTTCCTAATTTATTATTTTGTCCAGCACTTAATACCATCTAACATATKAAATGTTTATTTTATTCACTATAGGTCTTCCCTAGTTAGAATATAAGCTCTTGTAGGGCACAGATATTTGAGTTTGTTCACTGTTGCATCCCCAGCTCCTAGAATAACATCCAGGTCTTAATAGGTGCTCAATTAATACATGTGAAATAAAATATTGTTGGCCACTCAGAGTGAAATCACWGCCTAAGCCATGAAGATGCTTTATTAAATTTCAAAAATCTATCTTAGTGCAAAGGGGTGGGCAGAGAGATGATAGGGGAGTGGAGTGAAAACAATGGGGAACTTCATGTTGAGGGGGTGGAGGGAAGGGGTAGGATGTCTAATTTCCCCAGATAACCCCTGGGGCTCTCTTATATTTAGGAGAAGGATTCCAAGGCTTCCTTAAATTCCTGAACCTACTGGTAGTGGTTTTTGAGTCAACTCCTAGAAGAGCTTAGTAGGAAGTAAGTCGTTCTCTCTCTCTAGCATTCCATCCACCCTCTCTCCCTTCCTCTTGTTGAGAAAAATACATATCAAAATATATTGTGAATAAGGGACTGGGGTTGTGGCTCAGGGGCAGAGCGCTTGCCTCACACATGTGAGGCAMTGGGTTCAATCCACATGATTGAATCCACACGATGATCAGCACCACATGAAAATAAACAAAATAAAGATATGTGTTCATGTACAACTAAAACAAAAATATTTAAATGTATATATGTATATATATTGTGAATAACTTATTTTGTAGATTCCTTGAGGTAAAATATAGTCATGAAAATAACTGGAATGGTGGAGAAACTATAAGAGATGGAGTTAAACTGTCTTAGATTCACATCTGAGGATCTTACTGGCTGGGTGCTCTTGAGTTAATGGATTGACCTCCTGTGTCTTCACTGTTCTCACCTAAGGATGAATAAGATGAGTATAACATTAGCTCTTTATTTTTGTTGTGAGATGTTATAGACTGAATTTCGTCCTTTCCTCCCAAATTCATATGTCGAAGCCCTACCCCCAGTACCTCGGAATGTGACTCTATTTGGAGATAGGGTCTTTACAGAGAAAGAGGCAATGAAGTTAAAATGGGCTCTCTAGGGTAGTCCCCAGTCCAATATAACTTGTGTCCTTATAAAAAGAGATTAGGACACAGACCTCACTATGCGGACACACAGGGAGAAGATGGTCATCTACAAGCCAAGGAGAAGCCCCAGAATGAACAACCCTATCAACAGCTTGATCTTGGACTTTCACCCTTCAGAATTGTGAGAAAACAAATTTCTGTTGTTTAAGCTACCCAGTCTGTGGTATTTTGTTGTGGCAGATTTAAGAAAAATGAAAAGGGAGATAATGCAGAAAACTGTTAAAATGTTGAGTTTAGCTGGCCCCTAAATACTTTCGTCTTCAGTTGCAMTAAAGGAAGTAAACTATTTAAAGTAGAGGTCCTGAGGCATACTGGTCAATAACCTACATAGTAAAAATAGAGCCCTTTCTGATACAAACTTTGAATGATGAATGTGACTAGGCAATGAGGAACTGGGTCACATCCAGAGAAAGGTTAAGGGCTGATGAGGGCCCTGGGAATTGTCACACTGAAAGAGATGGCTGTTTAACCCATAGAAGGAAAGACTGGAGTGACTGCAACACCATTTCCAAATGGATGAAATAGTCTTCAGTTAGAGGCATTCCATTTAGCTGTGTGGGTCAAGACCAAAGAGGCAGAACTCGTAGTGGGAACAAGTTCTGGAAGGTAGATTTCAGCTTCCTTAAGAACTATTTGTGCTCCGTTTGTGTACAATGAACCAAAATGAATTCTGCTGTGATGTATAMCTAATTAGAATAAATTTAAAAAATTTAAAAATTAAAAAAAGTTATTGGATGTGGCTGGGTGACCACTTTTTAGAAACATCAGAGAGGAGACCAAGCGTAGATACCATTTTGGACCAGATGAACTTGGATGTTCCTTTCCATCTTGACATTTTATTAGTACTTAAGATATATCTCTTTTGATTTAAAACACACACCTGGTCAACAAATATTTTTGAGCTTTGTAGATTTGATATCTATTAAAATGAGGTAGAAAATTCATTGAGAAAAAAAATTGAAAAATTATTCAATCTGCAGAGGACCATCTCAGAATATTGGAAACATGGAAAAACGCCCGACTAAAATTTTGGAGCCCTGAAGTACAAGCTTTATCAGGAATGCACTTGTGCTAGAGCCAAAATTTTAAACTTATTCTGTGTAAAGCTGTCATCTCAATTTTACAAATCGGAAAAAGAAAATACGGAGCTTGATTTATCTACTAAAGGCTAATCTATCCTGCAAGAATTTGTTAAAATTACTCTCAGTAAGAGTCGACACGGTAAAAGCTATAATTTCCCAACTATCATCAGTATGTGAGATTTTTGAGAAAGTCGATAGAAGCACGGGATGATTTGGTAGCTGTACCAGAAACATGGTTTTCATATCCACAAATTGCTACAGAATAATTCGAGTGCCACTGGTTCTAAAGTGCTGCCGGCCAGCACCACCTCATTAGCTCACACGCACCCCTTAATCATCGCGGCCGCAACGAGGGCCCTAGGAGCCCAGCCTGCAGAGGGAGGCCTATCCTGGGAAGGAACGGCAGGCGGCCAGGGCTAGTGGTGAGTGAGCACTGAACCCGCTGCTAGCTGAGCAAACCGCGCAGGGATCGCCAGCCAGGAGAGCTCTCTCCTTTGGGGGCTAGGAGGACAAACAGCCCCCAGAACTCTTAGGTTCCGATTCACAGCCCCAGGTACCCAACCTTCTGCAGTGGCACCCAGCACGTCCCGCCTCCCTGGGAGAGCGCCTCCTAAGCCAAGATCCGGAGAGATCAGTGTATCCCAAAACAGGCCATGAGTCCTGGCTCACAACRCCTGCAGCTGGCAAAAGAGAAAACACCAAGGTGCGGGGGAGGAATAGAGTGTCTCGGCGGTCTCGGGTTGTCCTACGGGCTCTGAGGAGACAAGCAGAACCTCCGCGGAGGTGGATGGGGGTGGGGTGGGGTGTAAGGCCGGGGACGAAAAGGCTTTAGCAATTGACGCCCTCTGCTCCGCCCCTTTCAAGTTATAACCCAGTCGGAGTGAGACTCTTGGGGTGGGGACTGGAGGGCAGTGCCGGGACTCCTCGGCACACAGCCACCTCCACGGCCGCAGTCTAAGGAGCTAGCGCTCTCACGCGCCGCGCAGCGCGCTGGGGCCACCAGAGCACGGCCTCGGCGGGCACAGTTGCTCGCGCAGCGTCTGGGCAGCTGGCCGCGGTCCAGCTCCTGGAGAGACGCGACAGGCCTCTGTGTGTGTGAGAGAAAGCGAGCGAGCGAGAGCTACTGCCTGGCGACTCGCGCCCCGACAGGTGCAGGCGCGCCAGCTTCCCATTGGTCGCGGCGGCGGCGGCGGGCCCCTTCCCCCTCCCCGCCCTCCGCCGGACCCCCTCCCCCGCCGCGGCGCCGGCTCGATTCGTGGAGGCGCGCGGCCGCCAGCGCGCGCACCCGGCCGCGCGTCCCTCGCCCCGTCTCCGCCCCCTCCCCCTTTCCGCGCCTCCGCCGCGCGCTCGCGAGCTCAGGTAGCGGGCGCGCGGGAGCCTCCCCAGGGGCGCGCGGCCGGCTGCAGTACCCCCCAAGCCACCCCCACTCCCGCTGGCTCTGGGGATCCTGGGGAGGGAGCGCGCGGGCGGCAGGCGGGGGGCGCTGGAGCCGGGTCCTGCCGCCGCCGCTGCCGCCGCCGCCGCCGCCGCCGCCGAGGCTTCCGTCTTGCTCGCTCGCGCAGCGGCGGCAGCAGAGGTCGCGCACAGATGCGGGTTAGACTGGCGGGGGGAGGAGGCGGAGGAGGGAAGGAAGCTGCATGCATGAGACCCACAGGTAAGACCAGGAGCCCGGAAAGGGCTTTCCAGTTCGGGGAGGCGCACGCAGGCCGGGCAGGGGGAGTTTGTGTCCTGTTCTGCTCCCCAAGGGAGGAATTTTTTTGACAGCGCAATCTCATTGGGGACTAGGGCAATAGGACCCTCCCGATCCCAGGGAAAACCAGAGAAGTAGCTGGGGGGAGCCGGTGCCACATTGTGAGATTCCTAAGAGTGAAATGGTTAGGCCCGGGGAAAAGTGTTTTCTCAGCCCCTAGACGCTAGAAGGCTTTAGACTTTCCTGTCATGGTCACAGCCGCTGAATCCCGGGGACCGGCGCAGAGCCAATGTGCGCTAACCCCTGCTCTCCCTCCCCTCCTCCATCCCTCCCGCACGCGCAGCATCCCACGGCGGCTGTTACTCAGTGTACCCTGCGCTGGGGGCGGCGGGSAGATCTCGCCGTGGGAAAGGGGGCGGGGGCCTTGCGGGGGTGAACTGGGATGGAGCCCGCGCAGCTGAGGCGCCGGGTCCCAGGGCCGAGGAGTGGGAGCGTGGCCCAGAGCTCCAGCAGCCCGGGGTATTGTCGTGTTCCGCTCGTGGTTGCAGACTCTTGCAAGCTGGATGCCCTCTGTGGATGAAAGATGTATCATGGAATGAACCCGAGCAATGGAGATGGATTTCTAGAGCAGCAGCAGCAGCAGCAGCAGCCTCAGTCCCCCCAGAGACTCTTGGCAGTGATCCTGTGGTTTCAGCTGGCGCTGTGCTTTGGCCCTGCACAGCTCACGGGTGGTGAGTGACCCCGCTGTGACCAGAGGGCCTGGGATGGCCATGGCCGGGCAGGGAGGGGAGCCAGATTGGCAGGACAGCCCCGCTGCACACGCCCTCACTCTGTACATCCAGACTTCAGAGATGCCTGAGAAACCCAAGGTCTGTGCCCCAGCCTCAGACCTACCCTTTATTCAAAACGCCTGGAGTTCCCAGAAAATTCCTCTGTGGAACCCGCACAGGTTCACACACCCACATTCTGTCTGGAGCTTCCCAGCAGCAGCCCGGCCTGGCTTCTCTGAAGAAAGAATAATAAAGTCTGATCCATTATTCTCACTTTGAGAGAAAGAAGTATGTGTTGGGGGGAGGGGAAGTGGTGTATTTGTGGACCTTTGACCCTTACGCATGCCCTGGACAGACAGAGGTCAGGTTTCATCCTCTGGATTTAGTCAAGAGTTACAAGATCCATCTTTGGAAATGTAAAAGGTCTGAAAACATGGCCAGACTGRCTGAAGGACAGGTTTATTTGAAAGTTAACTTTCTCTTTCTTCAGAAAGTAGTGTGTTCAAGCATGTCTGCATGTTGGGGGTGGGAAGGGGATGCAGAGCTTTTTCTTTTGGAAGATTGCTTAGTTCATCTAGGTCTGATTTACAGGGGGAAGCAAGTCAAGTGCTCTTCTATAAAGTGGAAGTTTGCTGAAATAAAATTGATAGCCTCAGTCTCTGTRGGCGGATAATCTATAACATACTTGGGTTTGAGGGACAGGGCTATCTTTTGGTTGTGGTAGAGGAAGACAAATGGAGTTCCTGTCTGAATTTCAGAGCCTAAGCATATCCCTGCCACCCCTACTTACTGCTGTCCATCATTGCTGTCCATTCCAAATTTTTGCTGAGGGCATGCTGATGTGGATGTGAAAAGGACAGAACTGTGTTTCCAGAGCCGAAATACTATTAATATGTGATTAAATTATTGCCAATTGAAAAACAAGTAYTGCTTGGTATAAATAGACCATTCATGTGTTTGAAAATATTGCTGTTTAAGAGAATCCAAAGATGAAGATGGAAAAAATGAATGAAAAATTAGCCAAAGTGGGGGAGGAGAATAGCAAATTGGTCCCTAATTCAGGCATTCCATTTAGATGTGTGAAAGATACCTGGAACCTTAAAGTGTTTGTTATGATGTGCGCATCTGTCAGAATTAGGGAGAAAGTGTTTGCTTTGGATATGGACCTGGTTTTTGTTTTGTTTTGTTTAGTTTTATCAAGAAGTAATTTTTTAAAAATAGAAATATCTCTGAGACAGGCATCCTTTTCATAGGGGACAAGGTCCAGTGTGAGGTCAGATCAGTTTCTGTGTAGTCTGCTAGGGCTCTGGTCAGAGCTTCTGCCCTGCCCTGAACACTAACTACCTCTGCCTCACTGGCAAGTAGAAATCAAGGGACAGGACACAATGGGCAGGACTGGGCCATTTCCCCTCTCCTCTTCTCTTGCCTTTCAGTTCTAATTTTCATTCCTTCCAACCAGGTCCACACGATTTTTCCTCTTCCTGGTTGATGTCTCTCATGTAGATAGATGACAGATTAATTAATTTATCTATGTATGTCTTGTTATTGGATGTGTGAGGTCTGAGCACAGCCTGGATTTAAAGATTATGATCTTGGTTCCTCCCATTTGTATTTATTACACTTCCTTAAGACCCAGGGCAGAGCATGCCCTTCAGACTCTCCACTTACCTGTGTAGTCCATAGGGAGGTTCTTCCCCCACCCCCCACCCCCCAGAGAGGAGTAGAATAAGCAAAGAGATTCAGACCCTTGGAAAAGAGAGTGGGAATAAGAGCTGTCTTTTACGTCCCAAGTTCAGATCTTTCCTTTTAGGGAAAGGCTGGCCAGTAGCCTTGTTTCACCTTGAACTTCTTTGGGCAGAGAGTATAATTTGTTGAATGTTTATCATTTTAGAATTCCTCTATGAATAAATAGTTTGGACAGAGAAGGGTGGTGGGGGGACATTCTATGGAGTTCACTAAACAGAGATTTTCTTTCTTAGGAAAGAAACCCACCTGAGGTGTCCAGGATGACAATAAAAGCAGCATTACTTTGGCTCTAGACCTATGCTCCCCAAACTTTAATGTGCACACAAGTCACCTGGGATCTTGTTAAAAGGCAGATTCTGATTCCATTGGTCAGCGGGGGTGGGGCCTGAGATTCTACATTTGTAATAAGCTTCCAGATGAAGCATTCCTACGGGTCCCCAAACCATTCTTTGATTAGCAATGCTTTAGACTTAAGACATTCCTTAAGTAAGTTGCTTCTGATTCCTGACTTTTTGCCATCATTCTCAATTACCAAATGCAAATGGCCTTCGAGGGAGCAGAAGTCTCACCCAATTTATCTAATCTTTTGGTGATACACAGAACTGAAAATCAGTTCTCAGAGAGTGCTTTCTTTTTTTTTATCCACAAAAGGTACATATTTAATAGACCCTGTTCTGAAATGTGGATTTTCATTTTTGATTGCTTTCAATGGAAAAGGAGTACCACAATAGTCTCAGCTAGGAGAGAGAAAAGCATGTGCCCAATACAAGTATTACAGAAAGAGCTTGAACTAGAAAGGGAGAAATTGAGAAAATAATGAGAAAAAGGAAAAGGCTGGGGGAGAACTCCATCAAAACCAAAATGCTTTGCCCTAGAAATTCAATTTTCTGAGCCTTTTGAGAGTTTTCATGGGCCTGGCTTGACTTGAAGTGACTTCTAGGTAACTCTCTTCAGGTTGTCTTTTCTGAGTTAAGAAGAAGGGCCCTCCTTTGGGGCCATTAAAACTACATACACTGAGAGGACTTTCACTAGGTTTATAGGGAGGTACAGGACATGGCTGTTTCCACATTCTGGAACCTTTTCTTCTTATGCCCCAGTTAACCTTTCCAGAAGATATCTGGTTTTGAGTGGTTCCCTGTGTAGTCACCCAGGTTTAGAGGATGGGAGCTAAGAGTTGGCTCCTTGAAGGTGAATTTCCTGTTACCAGGAGCTCAGGCTGGGCTCTGATACTTGGTAGCTTTGGGGTCTTGGTCTTGGGAGCTTCAGTTTCTCCATCTATAAAATGAGGACTATGATATCTATCTTAATGAGAATGATGTGAGAGATGGAAATCATATAGGTACTCAGTAAATTCAGGAAGTAGTAGGGAGGAATTGTACATCATGTTCTKTTTACCTAGAAGATCCCTCCCTTACACTTCATTTCCCACCCCACCCCCAGGAAACAAATTTTTCTTGCCATACTCTCTTTCATATTTCCCTGGTCATTAAATTCTGCCCTTACCTGGACTCCCATTGCCCTAGGTTATCATCTTCTATCATAGTATCATCTCGCCTACTAGACCATAAGCCCACTGAGAACAAGAACCTTGACTCAATTAATTTCTATGTCCCAGGCACCCAGCACAGCATCTGATTCATAGTAAATGCTCAGCTAATGTTGATTGAAAGCAAGGGAAAAAAAAATTCCCAAATTACCACCATACCATCTAGGAAATAATGTCTTGGGTGAGTTACAAATGTGCAAAAGTTTCACGGTAGTTGAGGCCACCTCCAGTTGTAGGTTTTCTAGGTTGGAGGTTGGTGAAAACATCAGGAAATGTCCCAGAGAAGGAGTAGCACTTAGGGTGAGATGACTGGAACATCTCAGGGGCAGGCTTCTTGTACAATGATGGGGATGTGGTTATGTGCCTGAACTTTACAGGAAACAGTTTAGTCAGGTTAATGTACAACATAGTCTACTTATAGGGAATAGTAGAGTAGAAGGAAAAATAGGTTTCAGCCTTATTATAAGGGTCCTGGAAGTTCCAATGAGGAACTTGCATGCCACATAGCAGGCACTATGGGACCCACTGAAGAATGTAGAGAAGGAGCATAATATCAGGTGAGCTGTGTTTATACTTTTCTCTGCTTCCAAGCCTCCAACTTGGGGCAAGCCACTAGTCTGGCTGCCCTCTCTGCACTCCTTAGTCATGGTTCTAGTGTGGCTGGATTAAGCTTCTTGAGATCTCATTTGGGTCATGGGACCACAGCATTGAGCTATGTATCTACTGGTAGGAACAAATGCCCTCTGACTGACCGATGGTTTGTAGATGTGAGTGTCTTGGAGTTTTATTGAGAAAAATTTTCTTACATGACAGAGTGCAAAAATCCATGAATTTAAACTGCGCTTAACTCAGTCTGTAAACAAAGTCCCAGCTCCTGAAACTCTAAAGCATATTTCTTCAACAAAAGGTTGCCTTCATGTAAGCAGCATGGAAACTCTTCCAGTTTATCCACAGGATGAAATACGAAAGCTTTTGGGGACAAAAGAAGGATTTCATATAATAAGGAGCAAATCTCTCATCTCAGAGACCTAGAGAGGCAAGACAGAGAATCAGTGGTTCTTTAATTCCTGAGAATAATGACAAGTATAGGTAAAGCTCCTTTTCTAGTAAATATTGATTAGGAACATGAAGAAAAGCACCTATGTTATTCTGTTCTTGGTTTCAGAGACATATTTCCAAAGCTTCAGATGGAAGCTCTGGTGTAGAACCAGGGGTCTGTAGTCTTTAAAGAATGGATATAGCCTGTGTGTTGAGCTTCTGCCATTAAATGGCTCCACGGTTTTTGGCAAGTTAGGTAACTTCTCCTTGACTCAATTTCTTCCCCATCACTGGCATTCTTTGGTTCTGTGATAATAGAAGTCCCTGCTTACCTGCATTTTTGTTTTCCATGGTTTCAGTAACCATCATAGCAGTCTGAAACTATTCTGTGGAAAATTCTAGAAATAAGCAATTCATACTTTTTAAAATGCATGCCATTCTGAGGAGTGGGATGAAATCTCATGCCATCCTGCTCTGACCTTCCTGATATGAATCATTCTTTTGTACAGAGTACAAAAGATATTTTGAGAGAGAGACATGACATTCACATAACTTTTATTATAGTATAACATTATAATTTCTCTATTTTATTATTAGTGACTGCCACTAGTCTCTTACTGTGCCTAATTTA